CCATTTGTCTGAAGTGGTATAGGGTTTCCTGCCTAGGCAGGGGGTTGGACTAGAAGACCTCCAAGGTCCCTTCCAACTCTGCTATTGTATTGTATGTGCCGGAAGTGGTAAGCAGAGCCATCTCTTTGGGCATGCAAGCCTTCGCCCACTCCCCTCAGGGTTCTGGCACACCAGCCAGCTGATTTCCACACACAAGGGAGTGCTGGAAACTGGAAGAGGCAGCCGCCCAGTGCACATGTTCTTCCGGTTTCTGGCATGCATATGCGCACCAGCCAGCTGGTCTTCGTTCATGCATGTGCACCAGAAACCAGAACACCAGGTGGCCGGTGTGCACTGGAAACTAGAACAACAGCCGCCTGGCGAACACATGTGCACCACTCTTCCGGTTTCTGGCATGTGCCCACAGTGCCGAAAATCCACACTGGTGCAGGGTCTCCTGCTTGGGTCTGTGGGGATTGGACTAGATGACCTACAAGGTCCCTTCCAGCTCTGTTAGCCTGTATCTGCATCTTGATCTGGCTGAGGATAATAGGATTTACTGGCTGTCCATGGCTTGGCCACTCCCCAGCGCGCCCTGACAGATGCCTACCTGTGATGGCGTGGTGTGAGAAGGCCTCCACGTAGATGAGATAATTGTGCGGGCAATGCTTCTTCAGCCATTTGCACACATCCTGCTGGGTCCATAGCACCACCGGCTTGGTCAGGCTCCCTAAGGTAGGACTGGTGTGGTAGATTCCATAGTGCTCATAAGTCCGGCTCTAAAAGGATCACACAGAAGGAAGAAAAGAGCAAAGAGAAGCATGACAGAGCATAGAATTCACAGCCTTACAAAACTGGAATTGTTGAAGAATTTTGCACCAATGTTTATTCCTAAACTAGCTGATAACCCGGCGCTGCCCAGGTGTTTATTCATCCCAAACCTCCTTCCGTGAATGTCACCGCAATTTCTAATGTTGGATTTTCCCCCTTATCAGAAGGAGCCCCCTTGTGGAGTACTGTGAAGCTGTTACAATGGCAACGCCAAAGCGCTGTACAGTAGAAGCCATGTTAAGGCAGTACGGTAGGAGCCATTTTAAGGCACAACAGGTTGTATCTTAACAGAACGCCGCTCCCCCCCCCACCCACAAGGGGTGTTAGGGGTGTTTTACTCCCCACAGTATTTGTTTCCAAAGAGTGAGTAATCTGTGTACCACGTTTGGTTGAAATTGCTCAAGGCATTCCAGAGTTATGCTGGAACATACATACACACAGCCATAGGGTGGGAGATGATAGATAGATAGATAGATAGATAGATAGATAGATAGATAGATAGATAGATAGATAGATAGATAGATAGATAGATAGAT